CGGGCGGGAGCTGGCAGAGCGACAGCGCCGGTGCGAGAGAAGGGAGCCGAGAGCGCGGCCGGGGGCGGCCTTGGGGAGAGGCGCCCCCTCTCCCCGCCTCACATCAACCACTGCCCCGCCCTCACCCACACCCACCCCCCGCTCAGAGCATACTGCGCGACCTGCCCCACTCACCCACAGCTGACAGCGCAGCAGGTAAGGTAACACCGAGCTGCACCTCAGAATCCTCAAAAATGGGCCAAGACGTGGAAGTCTCGTCAAGTTCTTCTCAAAATTCTGAAATTGAAATAAATTTCTACTGGCAGCAAAGTCTTCGCGTGGAAGTCGGTGGGTTCCTTCTCACATTGCATGTACTGCGGGGGAGAGGCGGCCAAGCGAACAGCATCGTCATCTTCGCACCCGCAAGGGAACGGACTGCTGATTCACGGGGCAGGTAAAGCTCCCGCTAGTCCCAGTTTCTGCGGCGAGCACAACTCTGACTCAGTGGCCTTGCTCCATCGCTATCGGCATTGCTTTTAATCACGGAGTTTTTCCTTACTTTAGCACCTGTAATTCATTTTAACTAAAGCAGACCATTAATCAGTACTAGCCCATTATGCCTCAGTACATGAACATCTACTGCTATAGGACAGCAAACGCTGCTGGATCATCAAAACCCAACATTCTGGAGCTGGCAAACACTTCAGTTAAGGGATCTTGTCTTGGAAAACCCCACTCGCTGCCCAGTTAATGCTCAGAACACCCCAAACACTATAAGGAAGGATACGCCAGACAGAGCAATTGGGCCACCACGCTTCCAACGCTTAGACAACACAAGAAGCCATCAACACCAGAAAGTTCCTGAACCTCCATCTCTCAGCATTCTTTGCTTTAAAACTACACTTTCGTCCTCCACTCGGTCCAGATACAGGGACAGCCTGCTGCGTGCGGAGGCTGGAATTTATCCAAATTCATCCCTTGTAGTGCCTCACTGACAAGATCTGGCTTCTGCAATGACCAAAACGCTCTCAGGCACACTGCTGGTTTTCAGCAACTCTTACTTTTTGAATGTTTTGAGGAACACAGGTATTTCTTTAATGCCACAATATAGGTTTGATAGGCTTTACAAACTGCCGCAAGAAACATTGTGTTACCAAGAAAGGTTTTATTCTTTTTGCCAGTAGCTTTGTTAATTGCACAAAAAAAATCTTTTTTTTTTTTGCCATTTAAACATGTTCACACATCCTATTCTGAATGACAAACGTTAATTAAAAACAAGGCAAAAAATAAAAATTCACAACCTTAATTAACTATAGGATCTATCATTGAGGAAAAAAGAAACTGCTTTTCTTACAAGCTTTTCACAAGTGTCACATTTTCTCTTTAAAAAGGAGGGAGTCAAAAAAAGCAAATTGCTAAAACAGAAATCCTCATAAAAAGGAACTTTACAGAATTGTCAACAATATTAAGACAACATTGACTAGCCAGTTTTATTAGAGCATCTCTCAATCCACAGCTTCCCCCCCTTCCCTCCCCCAAATCTCAGGCCTAGGAACAGACCAAGATCCATGTTCAGAGGCTACAGACATAAATACAAGAATCCGAGTGAGACCAACACGAGTCAATCTCAAACGGCATCTGAAACAGTCTGGTTTTCACCATTTCCATCCCTCCACTTCACATCCACTTCAGAGCTCTCGGTCTCCTTCTGCTCCTCCCTGGCATATCTGTGATTGTACAGCTGGCCGGGCAGCACCGCATCCTCCAGCCACTCTACATCCACCTCCCTTGCCAGAAAGCTGCAGTCAGACTTTCCCAGGATAAATTACAGTGTTTAACTAGTCTGCACCTGCCACTCCCACGTAAATAACCATCTCCATTTTGAGAACTACAGTATTTCTGGAAAACAAAACCTGCAGCAGTGAGTTGCCTAGGGAGTGGTTCTCCCTCTCGCAAACATGGTTGTTTGAATTCACTATGAAATCCATGTCGCAGGACTTGAGAGCTCCTTTTGTATTCTCACTCTATCCAGAGGCACCACAAAGTAAAAAAAGAGGGAGATCCTCCATCACCTTCGCTCAGATCCATTCACTTTCACTCTGGCCCAAGAAACCTCTGCAGGGACAGGTTGAGGACGCTGCTGCACTGGCTCAGCACAGTTCCACTCTCAACTGGACCTGAGACAGTAACCTCCCTCTTCCACCCAAAAGATTTCTTACACTATAAAACCTGTGGTCTTATCTCCTGCCCCCAAAACCACAATTTCCCCCAGATGCCCTCAATACACAATTCATGTAAGTGATTTCTTAACTGCGGCATGTTTAACCAAGGACTTCTGATGCTAACAGCTGAGTTCTGGATGGGGGAAGCGCAAGTGTGTCAAAAGCAGGCTAATGGCTGGTTAACCTGGGTAGTTATATGTGCCTTTAATATGAATATCTACATGCAGGATGACAGTTGCACTGCCAAAGGAACGTGTATGTATAACTAGTATTGTTCACATATACCACTGACAAACTGGCAAAGTGATGTCTAACAGATCTACTACTAGATGTTCACCACAGGACATAATGCGTAACACAATATTAGCCCACAAATAATAGTGATCACAGGAGGTGAAATATTCAACAAAGTAACATTTACAGCATTAGGCGTTAGATGTCATGATTCGTAACGAGTATCTGATACTTTCTCTGTTTCTTAATAAGGTGCCCCTGAACCATATGCACGTGCTGCACAAAGCAGGATCAGTAAGAAATCCTAACCCATAAAATTCCCCTACATAGCCATTACGTTCCTAGAAAAAGAAGATGGTGGGAGGGGCAGACAGTCTCATCTGAATTTGCTTTCTTTCCTTTCAGAATCCCAACCCAAGGGAGGAGATTGTGCCACTGAGAAGTGATTTTGGCCAATAAAGTTTCTTACTGGCATTTTACTGACTCTCAAATCTAAAATGCAAGAACCCTCCTAAAAGGCTAATACTGAGAACAATTAAAAGAAAAAAAAAACCACCACACTCTGTGCATTTTTAGAGACAAGCAACCTTTGGTCTCTGGGTTGCTCTGCTATCAACACTGAGAACATCTCTGCTCTCTAGCCTTGGCATCTGCAGTTCAAGTCCAACACTTCTAGACTAAAGCTCAGCAGTGGTCTTAGCCTCCCATTTTATTTACTAGTCTTTCTTGCAGTCGGTATCTGGCCACAAGCAGAGTCACAGCTACAGGGAAAAGTCTCATGCTGCACTAGTGTTGTACCCAGAGTAGTAACACTAAGAACATGTATGGGCAATCTGACATGTATAAAGATCACTAATCAGTACATAAAAATATCCCTGTGAGGTAGGTAATCATCACCCACCTTTAAAGATGGGCAAACAGGCTAAGAGCTACAATGACCACACCAAGGCCAGAGAGAGAGCGTGGAAAGGAGCTCAGGATTCTCAATCTCTTGGCTCTATGATCATTTTTCTCGCCCCTTTCAGACTCATCACTCTGCTTGTGACACTGCTACAATCCAAGACACCTTTCTAATTAAAGACTACAAGGGTAAAAACAACAACAACAACAAAAAAAAAAGCCAAGAAATAAAGCAACATAAGCTAAGGCCAGGAGCAACCCTAAGGTTCGTTCCTTCCCCAAATAAAAGTATCTCTGGCCCAGTTTTAGGCTGTATGTTTCTCTTGCAGTTTTCTATGCAAATATGTTGATCTCCAATGCTGTTTGTGGGATGGGCAGCTGTGATTAGCCTTTTAGGAAGCTCATTTACACTGGCATTCTCTCATTTTCAGTAAGGTTTGTGTTCCCTAAGCTATTGTTGTCTGTACAGGGGAAGACATGGATGCAATCTGTTCTTCTTAACACAGTACAAAGAATTCCTCCATCAAGGTTGGGGAGGTGGAAGTTTAAAAAGAAACAGAACCAAGACAGTGTTGCATGCAACCCCATTACCTTCTGGAACTGCCATTCTCCTCCATGGGAGGTGCTTTGCTCTCTAACAGTGGCCGATTAACAGGAATGCTCCTCACCTTACTTGGGACCAAGGACTTTAGTGATATTCACAGGTAGATGGGATGGATGTCACCTGTCCCCTTGATGCAGAGAGTCCAACACACGCATTATTTCACAGCAAAGGAGAAAAGGGATCGTTAGAAACAGCATCTTGGACAAGCATACAAAGAGGAAAATAAAAGCAGCCAAGCAGCAGACTTCTGGCAGAATTGCCTCAGAGCTTCTGAACAAGCTGCCACTGTTCTGTTCCATGACTGTCAGTGCATGGCATGGATTTTTCTAATTAGACTGCAACAATCCGAGCCCCCTCCTCCCCCCCTTCTGCCACCAGGGGAAGGCTCACCGCAGCAGCTGCCTCCGTGGCAGATCTCAAAGTCTGTGTATAAAAGGAAATGGAGAGACAGAGATGGACTGGTCCAGAGTTAAAACCCAGTATCATAATAATATTAATCAATAATCATAGTATTAACAGTAAGAATGGTGCAGCCTAGTGGATGTAGGCCCTGTACACTGCAGACATGTCGTTGTCTGATTGGTCCAATGCTTTTGCTCGTTTATAGACCTAGAGAAGAGAAATTAGAGAAGGATCAGTGCCTGCTCTTGTGCGAAGCCTTTCCCCAGCAGAAAGATTACTTTGCTGACTGTTGCAAACCAGAGAACTGCACAGTATGTCAAGTAACTAGAGAAACGCAGATCAGAACACACCAGGTCTTGTTCAGGCCATCTGTGTTTACTGATGTGACTTTCTAAGGGCTTCTACAATCAAAACAAATCCAATTCCATCCTAGTCAAAATATACTTCGATTGCTGTTCCCTTGTCTTAGAGATGATGTCATTCTTAGATTTTTATCTCTTGTTGACAAATGGCTCTATTGAAATGTTGAGTAACGCATATCTGAACACTGAACAATTCTTACCTCGTTGGCAGCAGCTGCCATGGGAGTTGGGTGGTTGACAGAATCACCCAGTGCAATAGCTAATCTAAGATCCTTCTGTATGTATTTCAGGTAGAAATCAGGTTTAAAGTTTCCTTGCAAGATATCTGTCAAGAGGAATGCGTGCGAAAAATAAGCATGACAAAAGTAAATCAAGCCCACACTGCAAGGCCATGCAATTCAACACTAAACTTCCCTTTCCCATGCTGATCACCAGAACACTGCTTTTAGCTCTCCTGTTTCTCTGCTCTCTATCTTCACCTGGTCACAGCAGATAATGTCACTATTGCCCACTGACAAAGTGCGCTTAGATTTCTAAGCAGCTTGCCCTCTGTTTCACTTATTACCCTGCCCCAATGAAATCCTCACTGTGAACTCAAGTCCTCAGCTGGCTGTAGACAATGCAGAGCTTGGGGTGGATTCTCAGAAGCCCTGGCTATGAAGGGTAATGAATGGAAATCAGCTCTTCATTTTCAGAATGCTAAAAATACCCAGAATCCCAGTCTGATGAAGATGGGACGGTCATTTTCTCCCTTCTGCCACTACGTGAAAAACTGCTAGGTTGTGGCAAACGTCCTATCATAAAACAACGTAAGAGGACTTTACTTTGGCACTTCTGGTCCAGGAAGATGCTGGCAAGTTGTCCCTGATTGAGGATATCCAGAAGGGTCTGTTGGGACTGGCCAGTCACTTGAGCCAAGGTCAGTCCTTCTGCTATCGTTGCCATGAAGCTGCCTTGAACCATGTTCACAATCAGCATCATCTTGGCAGCATTGCCTACTTCACCTGGGAGCAAGACATACCATTGGGCATTCCTCCAGAAGAGATACAGCAGCCTTGCTTCCCCCATCCCACACAGTATTAACACTACTGGATTCTTCATAGCAAGCACTTGGCAGGTCTCCCTTCCCCTGAAAGGCTTCAGAAAACATACCCATTTTCCAAGCACTCAAAGGAAGGGAGAAATCATAACAAAATATGATTTAAAATAAAAAGCATCACAGATCCTCCAAAATGAGCCAGTATTCAAAAAAGAAAACTTAGGTTGGAGGCTCTGAAATTGGTCAAGTTCCAGAAGAACAGGCCAGTTTCCCATACTGCCCAAAGAGACAAGAAACAGATGACACGTATGCCTCAGACTCCTTGCTGGAATTCCCAGTCCTTGCACTGACTAAGAAACTGCTACCAGGCCCTTTGCATTTTGATTACCTAGAAAAAAAGAGGTCTTCCCCATTGCCTGGAAACAGCTACTGCAGTCCTCATATAAACCCCTGTCGCCAGCGGCCAGGATCACAAGCATCCCGTCATTAGATAGCTGCTGATTTCCTGAGACCGGTGCTTCCAAAAAGCGACCACCTCGGGACACTATCACCTGGAAAAAGAACACCTCTGGTTAGCTGCGCACGAACAGCACGCATTGATGCTCAGCAGGCAGCACAGCAAGAACATTGTTTAGGGCCTTCCTGTCCCCAGAACAGAATTTTAAAGCAAAACAAATAGCTCAGACATATAAATAGGAGAGGAAAGCACTAACACGTGATACGCTGCATCCTGCAAAGGGTACTCAAGACCAAAAGTTGCCCTCACACTCCAGCAACACTTTCCTGCACCCATCACTGCTGTGCGTGTTTTAAGCAGCTGAACTTACGTGCTTTTGCCATGGCACCCTGTAATGGGCAAGGAACCAGTGCTGAAATGGTACACGTGGTGTAGGAATCTCAGCAGATTGACTGTTATGATGTTTTCCCCAAAGAGGAAGACATCCCTTTGACAGATGTCTTCAGCCAGAGGCTTACTAACATGTATGACTCTTCATTCTACAAATTCATGTTACACACTACCACATCACCAATATGTCTTCTTAAGACTTCACCAAAATTAGCTCCCCATCCTTGTGCAGCAACACACACTGCCTTTAGGGCAGAGGATAACAATCAAGATGCCAAAGAGGAAATCAAAAACATCACATCAGAAATAATCAGAACACTTCTACAGAAATCCTCTCTATCATAATATTTCTACAGAATGAAACATGAAGGCATTCTTTTTCCCCTAATTATGCATTTTACCAATTTAAGGACAGTTATTAATCCAGACAGTGCTTTCTCCTCCAGTTTGCTACAGAATACCAATCTGGCTACAAATACTTCTTAAGGCATCAGAATTTGGCTGGCTGTTTGCATTAGTGCCAGCTAACAGCCCCGGCTTTGCTGTTATCACCAGGGAACATTTCATCCAATTTTGTCTGCTGGTCAAGATTTGACAGTTTATTTTGTCTTATTTGCTTGGGACTTGAGTGTCTCCTAAAAGAAGCCCACAAATTTTCAGAAGCATCTTTATTATCAACAGCTTACTGCCTGAAGCAACAAGAACTGCAGTACTGCTGCTGAATCATGATGTTAGAAGTTCAGTTCAATGTGATTACCTGGGCCAACTCTGTGACTGTATCTGCATCCACGGTGGACATATCCACATAACACTTCCCTGGGCGAATCCCCTGCAACACTCCACTCGGACCAAGTACCAGCTGTAGCGGTAAAGCAATAGGGTGTCTGCAAAGAAACTCCAACCCTGCAGGACAGCAGCTCAAGTGAGCCTGGCACTGCAGGGATAGACTCCTAGAGGGATATCAAAACCTAACTCCCAGGGATTATTTTTTAAACAGTATGATTTTTGTTGGGATATTTATTTTTACATAGCTGCACTGCCCAGCATCTACAATGACACAGGCTACCTTGTTTAGTAGAAATCAGAACTGGAATTCAGTGACTGTATCTTGTAGTCTAGCTGGTGGGGGAAAAATAAGAGCTAATCCTTACATCCTTTGCTGCTTTTGGATCTGATACACAGGCAAAGGTGATGTCACAGGTGGAGACAACTTCAGCGGGGGTTCTTCCCAGCCGTGCCCCCTCCTGGATGAACAAATCACACTGCAAAAGTCACAAATCCAAACGTAAGAAAAATTTAGTACAGAGCAAATGGGTTCTCTAGCATTTTGCTGAAACAAACTCTGCTGCTGGACCCAACTCAAAAGGAGTCAGGCGTACTAATTACATAGCAACTGGGTTGTCTTCTGTTGGTTTGTCCCCACACACACACGAGGCTCTTTTGCAGCTTTTCTGAAACCCGAAGTGAAGAACTTCAAAAGAAAGACACAGGAAAAGAACGCTTAGGTGAAATGATGAGAGTTGAGGTTGTGTGTGTGGGGGGAGAAAGGGGGGGGGGGGGGGGGGGAAGAAAAAAAAAAGGTAAACAGACATAGCAAAAGGTGTTACTGGACAGTGAATGCAAATATGCGCAGCTGAGATCGACATGCGTTTTAGTGGGCTGCTCCTTCAAAATCTTAGCTCCTTCTTACCCTATCCCCTCATACCATCCATGTTTTGCAGTTAAAAAAAAATTAAAAAAATCTTTTAATCCCTTTTAACAAAGTAACCACAGTGCCCTTCTTGCCTTTGATATTCCGCAATATTACCCGAGTAGCAGATCTCCCCCAGTTACCTACTCCTTCACTACAAAGAATAATGCTGGCTAGAATGTAAGTGTAATATAAGCTCCATTTTCACTTTGAATACACCTGTAAAACTCTTCTCATCCAGGTCTTATGACACAATAGGTTTTCAACTGAACCTTTGTTACCGCAACATGAACAGCACAATGGGTGTGTAGATGAAGCTGTGGTCAAGCAGTACATCTTACCACACCACTCCTAGGACCAACTCCCCAGCACTTGTTGTTTTCGTCCAGCTCCATGACACAATGACTTGGCTATTTACATCAACAGTCATTCCGGAGGCACTTTACATTGCATTCCTCGACACATATACAAGGTTGTAATTTTTCTGGCAACTCTCTCATCTCGCACAAAATAGCAACTGGGTGGGGACTGTTCACATAAGAATGATCATAATAGGACAGACTACAGCTTCATCTAGTCTAAAGTGGCCACCAAGAAGCACCTAGGAAATAATAACAGAACAAGGTGGCAAGCACATACTTGTGTTTCTTCAGCACCCTCTCCCAGGCGATTGGTGACTCCAGGCCTCCTCGAGCTAAAGGTGGTAACTACATGTTTAGAAAAGGTTAAGTATCACCTGTACTTTAAGCACATGCCTACCTTCTCAGCAGTGCGGTTCCAGACAGTGACAGTGTGACCCATCTTCAGTAAGTTGGAGACAATGCCACTTCCCATCAGGCCAAGTCCCAGAAATCCTATCCTGAGGATAAGAGATAAACATTAATGCAACAGAAAGCAATTGGTGTCAGCCTCTCATGGTCTTGGAAATGGTGAAGAGCAAACCCTGGAGCATCACCAGCAAAAAATTCCCAAAACCTCAACAAAACCAAACATGTTCCACTGCAGCCACAGCTAGAATGGGCACATACTGAGCTCTAAAAGCAAGCTGGAATTTATTTTGCTTACCAAGTATCCTTAACAATTTCCTGAAGAAAGTCTTTAGTCTGCTTCAGAAGATTACCTAAATATTAAAAGTTTGGATGGTCTGGGTTTTTTTGGTTGATTCATTGGGGCTTGCTTGTTTTGTTTTATTAAAATTGCTGCTCTTGTGCTTTCTGTTGCCAGCCATTGCCTTATTGAAGATAAAAGGAACACTTAGAGATCAGCAGGTGCTTCTCTAATTAATCTTCTGATTTTTAAACTGTCACATGTACAATGACTTGCTTATACTACTGAATGATACATCACAGTCTTTATTTTAATAAAGCTCAGCAAGGACTACTGCGCTGAGCATCACACACAGACCAAATACGCGGTCACTGCTCTACAGCTGCAATTTTGGACAGACACAGAAAGAAAGGAAGGAATAGGCCAGTACAGGTCACCATGCGTGACAATACACTAGTCCCAACACCAGCTGCCTTCCCCGATGCCTCCTCCATGCCCCCCCCGCCAAAGCTGGCAAGAGTTTTGCTCCCCCTCTTCAAGAAAAAGACGACATGCTAACAAGTTCCATCCCTACAGTTACCTGCAACAGGAGCTCCTCTGCAGGCACTGCTGCAAGGATCCTTTTATACATCATGCAGCTTCCTACCAAAACTGCAATTCTAGTAGGAGATTCTGAAGCGTTCAGTTACACGTCTGACGTAACTTCACGACGAAATCTGCCTGACAATTCCCCAGTTAATTCTTCAGAATTAGCCACACTACAGATGCGCTATGGCTTTCACAAGCCACCTGCACTCTCCTAACTAGCCACGCTGCCTTTTGTTAGAGCAAACTAATTTAGACAGGTCAGAGCAAGTCACTATGGGCTCCTTAAACAGTCCAAACAAGGTCCACCTATTTTCAAGTCTAAAACAGAGAAGATAACCTTTCTCTCCCAACCCACCTCTGAGCCACACTTTCCTGAGAGACTGTTTTACCTGAACAGCTTCATTGTTATTTTGGTTCCCCTGGAGTACAGTTGAGAACTGACATCCCATGAGAACGACCCCAACGGCAAACAGCAAGCTGTGGCCTGAACTCAATTTGAACAGAGCGGAAGTTACAGAGTGAAACAGGAAGCTCAAGTTAGGCTTCTCTCACTCTAGAAAGGAGAAGGGGGACGTTAGAAGAAACCAGAAAGCTCACGTGCTACACAGCAAAGCTCTTGTGCTGAGAGAACACGCCTCCCTCTTCCTCTTCTTCTACATGTTCAGGAGAGCGATTAAATAACCCCAGTAAACTGCCAGCCACTACTGGAGAAAGATACCCTTTTATCTTTCTGCCTCATACAGCATTCAGAAATACTGCTGCTTAATGCTCTGCAGTCTGCCCTACAGTAAAAGGGCAACTGCAGAAAAGCCCTGAATTGCAAATGTATCCAGGCCAGACCTCATTCTGAATTTTTCTACTGTACAGGCCCTGTTTGTTTTCAGCTGCCTCCCTCCCCCCCACCCCCCCAAATCAGAGTTTCACACAAGGACAGAGGAGATCTGTAGTTAGAGGGAAATGTTAGGTTTATTTATTCGCAGTGACAAGCTGGATAATGGCTGCATGTATGAGCTGGGAAGAAGAAAAAGGAAGGGAAATGGCTGAAGTGCATTGGAGATCTTACTTTTTGTCTGTAGGCGTGATACTGCCATTGACTGCTGTGCTGTCTGCTGCCTGGATGGAGGTGGATCCTGT